TGAATCTAAAAATTGGAAAATCCAAAAATTGTAAAATTCTCAATATTGTACCCTTGAAAAATCGAATATGAAATAGTTTTAGAGAAATAGTTTAATGAAATATTGGAAAACTAAAAATCGAGAAACTTAATAGAAAAAATTAATGAATTGAAAAATTGAAAAGAAAAAAATTGGTCTAAAGAGTTTAGACAGTACTTCCCTCGCTGTCGGAAACTTGACGACTGCATGCCTATTGTGTTTTTTTTCTCATTACATTTTTGTAGTGGGAATTTAAAAAAAAAATTGCGATGACGTCATCAACATTTTTGCAAGGACACGTATATCAGTTGGGATAGATGTAGTGTAATACTAAGAATAAAATTATTATATTCTCAAATTTTCGGGAAAATGAATTGGGTCGTTTGAATATTGATTTGTAATAATCAATAAAATAACGAAACAATTTACTCACGTATACCTACGTATCAGAGGCAACTGAAAATCGTGTATGTATAAACATTCTTAATTTAAGATGACAGGCGTAACAGCATACATGAGAGCCAAACAGAGAAACTGTAAACAAAACGACCGTCGGTTTTATTGCTTCGACTTCCGCTATTATTATATAAAACATTGGGTTTTATTTTAATTCTTGACGGTGAAATTCACAATTGGTTGATTATAAACATGTCTATTTCACATTCGCGGAATCAAGTGAACGCATAAAACAAATGCAGGTCTGTAATGTTAAAGTCGATGTAAATAAGCGTGCTACCCTTATGTTTCAACCGAGTTTTTCCTTTAACAAATTTTGTGTCTACCAAATTGGGTTGGTTGGGGTGTAATACTAATAATAAGTGTTGCCTTTAATTTAATCAATAAAATAAATTGACTTCATTAATTTTTTTGAACCACCTCTTAAGAAAATCTAAAAAATATGAATGGAATGATAAATCACAAGTACAAACTCATCATATTTTTTGCATTTTAGATAGGATTTATTCAGCAAAATTTAAGGGTGACGTCATCAATTTTTTTAGGAGGGATGAACAAATACATTTTGAACAAAAGTTTACCATGCTTATAATAACTTTAAAATATTCCCAAGATTTCAAAGCATTCGGTTTTGTAATTCCTGATTAAATCGATAAAATAAATTCACGCCTTCATTAATTTTTTTGAGTCACCCTGCATATGCAAATCCAAAAATATGAATGGAATGATAAATCACAAGTACAGACTCATCATATTTTGTACACTTTAGATACGATTTATTCGGCAAACTTTTGAGCTGACGTCATCAGTTTTTTGTAGAAGATAACCAAATATATTTTGACTAAAGATTTATTATGCTCTTTATAACCTTAAAACATCTGCAAGATTTCAAAGCATTCGGTTTTGTAGTTCCTGATTAAATCAATAAAATAAATTTACGCATTCATTAATTTTTTTGAGTCACCCTGTATATGCAAATCGAAAAAATTTGAATGGAATGATAAATCACAAGAAGAGACTCACCATATTTTGTACATTTTAGATAGGATTTTTTCAGCAAAATTTTGTGGTGGCATCATAAATTTTTTAGGGGGGACGACCAAATACGTTTTGATCAAAAATTTACCATGCTTATGATAATTTTAAAATGTCTTCAAGATTTCGAAGCATTCGGTTTTGTAGTTCCTGAGTAAATCAGTAAAATAAATTTACGCTTTCATTTATTTTCTTGAATCACCCTGTATATGCAAATCCAAAAAATATGAATGGAGTGATAGATCACAAGTACAGACTGATCATATTTTGTACATTTTAGATATGATTTATTCGGCAAATTTTCGAGCTGACGTCATCAAGTTTTTGGAGGGGATAAGCAAATATATTTTGACTAAACATTTATTATGCCCTTTATAACCTTAAATCATCTGCAAGATTTCAGAGCATTCGGTTTTGTAGTTCCTGATTAAATCAATAAAATATATTTACGCATTCATTAATTTTTTTGAGTCACCCTGTATATGCACATCCAAAAAATATGAATGGAGTGATGGATCACAAGTACAGACTCATCATATTTTGTACATTTTAGATATGATTTATTCCACAAACTTTTGAGCTGACGTCATCAAGTTTTTGGAGGGGATAAGCAAATATTTTTTGACTAAAGATTTATGATGCTCTTTATAGCCTTAAAACATCTGCAACATTTCAAAGCATTCTGGTTAGCAGATTAAAAATTAAATTTCAAAATGTTGTTTTATAATTTTGATTTTTTTTTCCAAAAATCTGGACGTTTCGGGTGAAAAGTCGATTCAGAGTTGTAAACTACATGTGTAGGACTATGTTATTTTATACAATTGAAAACCCATTTACTATGTACAATTTTGAAGTGACGTCATCGCATTAGTGGTGGGGATGATTAGACAAATTTTGGTTAGCGTTTTACCATCTACATGATATTCTTAATATAAGTACAAAATTTCACAACAATCGGTCGAGTACTTTCGGAGATTATCTGTCTAATAAAAATCCGTTACAACAGACGGACGGACAGACAGACGGAAATGGGAGACCTATTTCTTCGTCTTCTAGGGGTCATGAAAGATCGAGAAAACGTAAAAGTAAAGAGTCGGCCGACGGACTCGATTACAATACTTCCTTTGCTTACGCTCGGGAAGTAAAAACGAATCGAATCGAAAAATTAGAAAACCCAAAAATTGTAAAATCGTCAAAATTATAGTCGAAAAACTGAGTATACCATTGAAAGATCGGAATATTCGATTAAAAATTAAAAAAAAAAAATTGAAAAATCGAATATGAAAGTTTTGGAGACATTTTGGAAAAACTCTAAAGTCGTAAATTGAAAAAATTAAAATTAGAAAAATTGCAAATCAAAATTTGAAGAAACGAAAAATTAAAAATTCTACAAGTTGAAAAACCGAAAAATTGCAAAATTTAAAAATTTAAAGTTTCACATTGAAAAAAAAAGGAAAAATTATAAAATCAGAAAAGTGAAGAACCAATATATAATTTAAAAAAATGAAAATAACAAACCGAAACGAAAAATTGCAAAATTTAAAAAATGTAACATCCAAAAGTTGGAAAATTGAAAAATCGAAAAACAGAAAAAACGAAAAATTGCAAAATCAAAAAAGTGAAAAATCGATAAATTACAAATCGAAGAACTGAAAAAACGAAAAACTGAAACATTGGAAAACTAAAAATCGAGAAACTTAAAAATAGAAAGAATTAATGAATCGAAGAATTGGAAAATTCTCAAAATTGTAATCGAAAAATTGTACTATTGAAAAATCGAATATGAAAGTTTTGGCGAAATTTTGTAAAAATTTTAAAATCGAAAATTTGAAAAAGTGATAACTAGAAAAATTGTAAATCAAAATTTGAAGAAACAATACAGTGGAAAATCTAGAAACTGAAAAATCTAAACTAAAATTGAAAAAACGAAAAATTAAAAATTGTAAAACTTGAAAAACCGAAAAATTGCAAAATCCAAAAATTGAAATTTCACATTGAAAAAAAAATAAAAATAAAATCATAACTGTGAAAAACCGAAAATCTAAAAAATAAACCTTAAAAAAATCGAAAAACAGAAAAAACGAGAAATTCTAAAATAAAAAAGTGGAAAATCGATAAATTACAAACCGAAGAATTGAAGAAAACGAATAACTGAAATATTGGAAAACTAAAAATCGAGAAACTTACAAATATAAAAAATTAATGAATTGAGAAATTGAAAAGAAAAAAATCGAATCGAATCGAAAAATTGGAAAACCCAAAAATTGCAAAATCGTCAAAATTATAGTCGAAAAGCTAAGTTTACCATTCAAAGATCGAAATATTTGATTAAAAATTAAAGAAAAATTGAAAAATCGAATATGAAAGTTTTGGAGACATTTTGGAAAAATTCTAAAATCCTAAACTGAAAAAATGAAAATATTTTTAAACTATAATGATACATATTTAAAATGAAAATTAGAAAAATTGCAAATCAAAATTTGATGAAACGAAAAATTAAAAATTCTGAAAGTTGAAAAACCGAAAAATTGCAAAATTGAAAAATCGAAAAACAAAAAATTGCAAAATCGAAAAACTCAAACATTGGAAAACTAAAAATCGAGAAATTTTAAAATAGAAAACATTAATGAATTGAAAAATTGGAAAGAAGAAAAACTAATCGAATCGAAAAATTGGAAAACCAAAAAATTGGAAAATCGTCAAAATTGTAGTCGAAAAACTCTACCATTGAAAGATCGAAACATTCAAATATTAAAAATCAAAAAATTGAAAATGAAAATGTTTTGTCGAAATTTTGGATAGATTCGAATGTTGTAAATTTCAAAAGTGAAAAAAGTTTCACATTGAAAAAAAAAAGAATTGAAAAATTCCAAATTTAAAAATTGAAACATCCAAAAGTTGGAGAATTGAAAAACTGAAAAAAAACGCATTTTTTTTAATACTTCTTCAAGGAAGCGGGATTTGTTGGGCACTACTTCAGGGGCAAGGGAAGTTCTATCGAACAATTTTTTAATGAATTTAGTGTCATAAAAACATTACAAAGTAACTATCAGCATGGCCACTTAGTTTTTAATATAATAATTCTTGAAATTACTATGTGAAGGTAAATTACCCTGAAAAATGAAAAGGGCGAGCGTAGCGAGCACTTTCAAGATGTGACAGTTCCAAAGACATTACAGTAACTACAATCTTTAAACTCACATTTTTAAATATCAACAAATATTTTCTTTATAATTAGTTTCTCAGAAACATCAATCTTTTAAATTACACCTGAACGTGCTCGCTGCGCTCGTATTTCAAATTAATTTTTTTCGGCTTTATTTTCATAATTGTGGAGAAAAGAATCTCGACGTCGTTGTTTGGACTTAATTTTCAGTAACGTCTAAACGTGCTCGCTGCGCTCGCATTGTTAATTTTCGTTTTTCGGATAATGCAGTCCCAAAAAGATAGGAACTTTACGAACTAAATCTAAACGAATTTAACGTTTGCAGCTCACCCACAAAAAAGAATACCAAAGCGAAACCGAGGAACGCTTTCGCATGAAAATCTTCATGGAAAACTCCCACAAAATCGCCAGACATAACAAATTGTACGCCCAGGGATTGGTTACATACAAACTCGGTATCAACAAATACGCCGATATGTTACACCACGAGTTCATCCAGAGCCTGAACGGTTTCAACCGCAGCAAAACCCTGCTGAGAGGAATCGAGATGGAGGACAGCGTCACCTTCATCCCTCCAGCTAACGTAGAAATGCCCACTGCCGTGGACTGGAGGACAAAGGGGGCCGTCACTGAAGTAAAAGACCAAGGACAGTGCGGATCGTGCTGGAGTTTCAGCGCTGTGAGTATATTTATACAAAATAAGTGTAAGCATGACTGAATTTAATCTCGTGTGTTTAGACCGGGTCGTTGGAGGGTCAACATTTCCGCAAAACCGGTAAACTGGTGTCGCTTAGTGAGCAGAACTTGGTGGACTGCTCCCAGAAGTTTGGTAACGATGGTTGTAATGGGGGTTTGATGGACAATGCATTCCGCTACATTAAGGCTAACGGGGGTATTGATACTGAAGCGTCCTATCCGTATAAAGCTGAGGACGAAAAGTGCCACTACAAGCCCAAGAACAAGGGGGCTACTGACCGCGGTTTCGTGGATATTGCCACCGGAAACGAGAATCAGCTGCAAAAGGCGGTTGCTACGGTGGGACCGGTTTCGGTCGCTATAGACGCTAGCCACCAAAGCTTCCAGCTGTACGCCGGAGGGGTGTACTACGAGCCGGAATGCAGCCCGGAACAGCTGGACCACGGAGTCTTGGCTGTGGGGTATGGTACCGACGACAACGGTAACGACTACTGGATCGTCAAGAACTCGTGGGGAGACAGCTGGGGAGACCAAGGGTACATCCTGATGGCCCGCAATCGCGACAATAATTGCGGAATTGCCACTCAAGCTAGCTACCCTCTTGTTTAATCCACAGTAGTTTGATTAATTTCGAAGTAGGAGTCGAATTTTAGGTTAAGTTTGTAAATGATTTTGATGTTGAGCTATATGAACAAATAAAGTTTGATAATGAGTTTTTGTACCGGTGTGAAGACAGCAACGATTTACCAGCAACGATTTTAGTACGAACCGTAATTTCATGCAGGCGGCACACACAGAAATACATATGGGGCACCCCTGTAATTCGCTTATCAGTGTTTGTGCCACGATGAAATTCAGTGTGGGAGTTCTTTAAAATTTATAACGAATTATGATTTGAAAAAAAATTCAAATGTTTTGAGCCTATGGGCGGATCGTTTTTGCCTGCCCTCACCGAAGAAGGCGGTCCAAATCCTCCAAGGGCAGAATTTGTAGGTAGGCTCAAACTACAACGAAATTTACATTTGGTAAGAAATATTTATGGCTCACACCAGTTCTCTCGAATTTGTCGGAGAAGATTTAGCAGGTAGTTGTTCCCATAAAATAATGGTCAGTTTCGTTCGTGAGTAACGATGGTCCGGACATGAATTATTTTGCTTTATAACATCTTTCGACCAATTGTTCCGTATAAAAAATTTCATCACTTTTTCAAATAAAATACTCTTAAAACAAAAAACGATATTGTCGTTGAGTGACATGTAACTGGCATAATAATAAAAACGTGCCATTTTTGTTAACTGATTTTTTTTTCATAAATGTCGCAAATTTATTAAATTTGTCTAATCATCCGCACCAATAATGTGATGACGTCACTTCAAATTTATGCATAGGAAATGGGTTTTAAATTGTATACAGTAACATAGTCCTACACATGTAGTTTATGACTCCGTGTTAGTTTTTATTATATTTTGGAAAAAAAATCAAAATTATGAAACAATATTTTGCAATTTAATTTTGAATTTGCAAAATCGAATAATTTGAAATCTTGCAGATGTTATAAAGTCATGATAAACATGATTTAATTAAAATATATTTGCTTATCCCCTCTAAAAAATTTATGACGTCACCTCAAAATTTTGCAGAATAAATCCTATCTTAAATGTATAAAATATGATGAGTTTTTATACTTGTGATTTATCACTGCATTAATATTTTTTAGATTTGGTTATACAGGGTGTCTCAAAAAAGTTAATGACTGAGTCAATTTATTTTATTGAAGAAATCAAGAATAGCAAAACTGAATACTTTGAAATATTGTCGATGTTTCGAAGTTTTTGTAAGCATGGTAACTTTTTCGAAAATTTGATTAATCAAATATGCGCAAAATCAAAAATCGGAAAAACTGAAATTCACTAATGCAAAAAACAGAAAATCGAAAAATACAAATCGTAAAAATCGAAAATCTAAAAATGGCTAATCAAAAAATCGAAAATTCAATGAATCAAGTACCTAGGTCGATCGAAAAGTGGAAATTCACAAACCTCAAAAATCGAAAATTGAAAAACGGGAAAACCAAAAAATCGAAAAGTCAAAAATTTGTAGTATTGAAAATTAAAAAAATCAAAAACAAAAATAAAAAAAATCGGAAATTAAAATAATCAAAATATATAAAGTAGAAAAAAATTGCAAAGCCTAAAAACTGAAACGAACAGAAAATCTAAAAAGCAAAAAATTCGAAAAATCTAAAATCGAAAAAGTGGAAAATCGAAAATCTGAATAAAGAAACTTGGAAATTCTGAAAATTGGAAAATCGAAAACCAAAAAATCGGGAAGTAACAAAATTGAAGTCTAACAGTTGAGAATGGAAAAACTGAAAAACCGAAAATTCTAAAAATCGACAATGGACAAATTGAAAATCGCAAAATTTAAATTGAACAATTGAACATAGAAAAATCGATGGATTGAAAAATCGAAAAATCATAAAACTGAAAAATCCAAAATTCCAATGATCGAAAGTCTGAAAACTGAAAATCGAAAATTCTGAAAAGCGGAAAATAGAATATCGAAAAATTTAAAAGAAAGAAAATTGAAGTCTAAAAACCGAAGAATGGAAAAATTAAAAATCAAAAATTCGAAAAATCAAAACCGAAACATTCAAAGATTTAAAAAGAAAATCGAAAAATCAAAAATCTGAAAATTGAAACTCGAAAATTTGGAAAATCGAAAAGTAAAAAAATTGGTCTAAAGAGTTTAGACAGTACTTCCCTCGCTGTCGGAAACTTGACGACTGCATGCCTATTGTGTTTTTTTTCTCATTACATTTTTGTAGTGGGAATTTAAAAAAAAATTGCGATGACGTCATCAACATTTTTGCAAGGACACGTATATCAGTTGGGATAGATGTAGTGTAATACTAAGAATAAAATTATTATATTCTCAAATTTTCGGGAAAATGAATTGGGTCGTTTGAATATTGATTTGTAATAATCAATAAAATAACGAAACAATTTACTCACGTATACCTACGTATCAGAGGCAACTGAAAATCGTGTATGTATAAACATTGTTAATTTAAGATGACAGGCGTAACAGCATACGTGAGAGCCAAACACAGAAACTGTAAACAAAACGACCGTCGGTTTTATTGCTTCGACTTCCGCTTATTATATAAAACATTGGGTTTTATTTTAATTCTTGACGGTGAAATTCACAATTGGTTGATTATAAACATGTCTATTTCACATTCGCGGAATCAAGTGAACGCATAAAACAAATGCAGGTCTGTAATGTTAAAGTCGATGTAAATAAGCGTGCTACCCTTATGTTTCAACCGAGTTTTTCCTTTAACAAATTTTGTGTCTACCAAATTGGGTTGGTTGGGGTGTAATACTAATAATAAGTGTTGCCTTTAATTTAATCAATAAAATAAATTGACTTCATTAATTTTTTTGAACCACCTCTTAAGAAAATCTAAAAAATATGAATGGAATGATAAATCACAAGTACAAACTCATCGTATTTTTTGCATTTTAGATAGGATTTATTCAGCAAAATTTAAGGGTGACGTCATCAATTTTTTTAGGAGGGATGAACAAATACATTTTGAACAAAAGTTTACCATGCTTATAATAACTTTAAAATATTCCCAAGATTTCAAAGCATTCGGTTTTGTAATTCCTGATTAAATCGATAAAATAAATTCACGCCTTCATTAATTTTTTTGAGTCACCCTGCATATGCAAATCCAAAAATATGAATGGAATGATAAATCACAAGTACAGACTCATCATATTTTGTACATTTTAGATACGATTTATTCGGAAAACTTTTGAGCTGACGTCATCAGTTTTTTGTAGAAGATAACCAAATATATTTTGACTAAAAATTTATTATGCTCTTTATAACCTTAAAACATCTGCAAGATTTCAAAGCATTCGGTTTTGTAGTTCCTGATTAAATCAATAAAATAAATTTACGCATTCATTAATTTTTTTGAGTCACTCTGTATATGCAAATCCAAAAAATATGAATGGAGTGATAAATGACAAGTACAGGCTCATCATATTTTGTACATTTTAGATATGATTTATTCGGCAAACTTTCGAGCTGACGTCATCAAGTTTTTGGAGGGGATAAGCAAATATATTTTGACTAAACATTTATTATGCTCTTTATGACCTTAAAACATCTGCAAGATTTCAGAGCATTCGGTTTTGTAGTTCCTGATTAAATCAATAAAATATATTTACGCATTCATTAATTTTTTTGAGTCACCCTGTATATGCAAATCCAAAAAATATGAATGGAGTGATAGTTCACAAGTACAGACTCATCATATTTTGTACATTTTAGATATGATTTATTCCACAAACTTTTGAGCTGACGTCATCAAGTTTTTGGAGGGGATAAGCAAATATTTTTTGACTAAAGATTTATGATGCTCTTTATAGCCTTAAAACATCTGCAACATTTCAAAGCATTCTGGTTAGCAGATTAAAAATTAAATTTCAAAATGTTGTTTTATAATTTTGATTTTTTTTCCAAAAATCTGGACATTTCGGGTGAAAAGTTGATTCAGAGTTGTAAACTACATGTGTAGGACTATGTTATTTTATACAATTGAAAACCCATTTACTATGTACAATTTTGAAGTGACGTCATCGCTTTAGTGGTGGGGATGATTCGACAAATTTTGGTTAGCGTTTTACCATCTACATGATATTCTTAATATAAGTACAAAATTTCACAACAATCGATCGAGTACTTTCGGAGATTATCTGTCTAATAAAAATCCGTGACAACAGACGGACAGACGGACAGACGGACAGACGGACGGACAGACGGACAGACGGACAGACGGACAGACAGACGGAAATGGGAGACCTATTTCTTCGTCTTCTAGGGGTCATGAAAGATCGAGAAAACGTAAAAGTAGAGAGTCGGCCGACGGACTCGATTACAATACTTCCTTTGCTTACGCTCGGGAAGTAAAAATTGAAGGCTAAAAGCTGAAAAATGAAAAACTGAACAATCGAAAATTTGATAAATCAGATATGCGAAAAACAGAAAATCTGAAAATACAAAACTGGAAAATCAAAAATTTAAAAATGGAAAAACCGAAAATCGAAAATTCAATGAATCTAATACGTAGGTCGATCGAAAAACTGGAAATTCACAAAGCAGAAAAATCGAAAATTTGCAAGATTGAAAAACCGAGAATTGAAAAATCAAAAAACCGAAAAATGGAAAAATCAAAAATCGAAAAATAGGAAAACCGAAAATTCGAAAATTCATAATATTGAAAACTCTAAAAGTCGACAATTCAAAAATCAAAAAATTGGAAAGTAAAATAATCGAAAAATCGAAAAGTAAACAAATTGCAAAGCCTAAAAGCTGACGAACAGAAAAATCGAAAAATCGTAAAATCAAAAAGTGGAAAATCGAAAACTGGAAATTGAAAAATCGAAGATTGGAAAATCGGAATATCGAGAATCGACAAATTAAAAATCAAAAAATCGAAAAATTAAAAAATCGGAAATCGAAAAATGAAAAAAAAACGAAAATTCAAAAATCGAATAATCCGAAACTAAAATAATAGAAAAGAGGAAAAGTAAAAATTGCAATGTCTCAAAACTGACGAACAGAAAAATCGAAAAATATCTAAAAATGGAAAATCGAAAATCGGAAAATGGAAAAACCGAAAAATCGAAAATTCGATGAAACAAATACTCGAAAAAACGAAAAGTAAAAAAATTGCAAGGCCTAAAAATTGAAAAATCAAAAAATCGGAAAAATGAAAATCGAAAAAACGACGATCGAAAAAAAAATAAAAAAATCGAAAAGTGGAAAATCGGAAAGTAACAAAATTGAAATCTAAAAGCTGAAGAAGGGAAAATTCTAAAAAGCAACAATCGAAAAAAGCAAAATTAAAAATTGAAAATTTGAAAAATGGAAAATCGAAAACTCGAATATCGAGATTTTGAAAAATCGTAAAAATGATAATCGAAAAATCGAAAATTCGATTAATCAATATTCTAAAAATCGAAAAAACGGACACAAATCCACAACCCACAAATGTGAAAAATCGAAAATCAAAATACGAAAAATTGAAAAATCCCAAATCGAAAAATGGAAAAACCGAAAATTCAAAAATCAAACTATCCGAAAGTAAAATAATCGAAAAATGGAAAAATAAAACAAATTGCAGAACCATAAAAACTGAAACAAACAGAAAAATCGAAAAATTTAATGATTAATGGAAAATCGAGAATAGAAGAATTAAAAACGTAAAATCGAGAATTCAAAAATCAAAAAAATCGGAAAGTAAAATATAATCGAAAAATGCAAAAAATTGCAAAATCTAAAAACTGACGAACTGAAAAATCCAGAAATCTAAAAAAATGGAAAGGCGAAAAATCGAAAATTGAAAGAATGGCAAATTAAAAAATCGAAACATCGAAAAATCAAAAAAACGAAAAATTAAAAAATCGAAAAACGAAAAAACTAAAAACTCGAAAATTCAAAATACCGCAAATTTGAAAAATCAGAAAATTGGAAAGTAATAAAATCGAAAAGTTGATAGAAAAATTGAAACTGAAAAATCTAATTCGATGAAATGGTTGGTCGAAAAAACGAAAAATCGAAAATCGAAGTGATCTTTTTTTGAGACAGGCTGTATAAGTAAATCTAAAAAATATTACTGCAATGATAAATCACAGGTATAGACTCATCATATCAAATTTTACGATGACGTCATGCATTTTTTGGCGAAGATAAGCAAATACATTTTGATCGTGGCTTTGAAAGTATTCTTCGACTTTCGTTCCATTTCAAAATTTACTCTTTGTATATTTCAGTGGTCACAACGAGTTCACTAACTACGCTGAAGTATGCGAAGATTAAATTTGTCACCGAAAAGATGTCGGAAGTAATAAATTATCCTATCGGTCGAAGAACGTTCGGTCCGGTGTTACACCTCGACTCAAGAGAGACCGCAGTAAAGGATAACAAATGAAACGGATAAAGTAAAGCGTCAAACATGATTGATAAACTTTAAACCAAAATTATGAAGTTTATAAACTGAACATTTTTTTTGTTTTTTGAAATGTACTACACTTCAAAAAATGTCCGTGACTTATTTTAATATGAATTTTATAACTATGGTTGGCACAATTAGACCTAATATTAGTGTGATTTTGATCTTATTCTAGATTTTATTACAGCAGAACGGCGTATCCTTTTTAAATTTTAGAAGTTACGGAAACTAGTTCAAGAAACAATTAGTTATCTCGTATTTTTGGAACAAAATCTACCAAAATGTCCGATAACAGCAATTGTTTTTCATAGAAACAAACAGTCTTCAAAGCAGCCTTTAACAAGTCGATATTACAAACATGCCTCTTAAGTTCTTTATGCGTTTTTTTCTCTCTTGTAATTATTTGTAATGTTAACGCCGAAAGTTTATGTCATTCTGTTATTTACTTTGAACATATATTTTCATTTTGTGTTAATATTTTTGTAACACCACGAATCTAAATTTTACTTAAAATCTTGTTTTACTTTAATCTTGTAAAACTAAACAATTATACCAGTTTAAAAACCCTTGGAAAGTTTCTGTCAGTCTTCAGATATAGTCAAATAAAAATATGCGTCAAATTCATTTAAATTCAATTCTTTCGTATCACGTTACAACGCGTTGCTTCATATTTTTTATGTTAAGTATATTTCCATATTTTGTACACATTACTGTTTACGGAACAATGTTAATTATGGATTTATGGATAACTCCTGGTATAAGAGCAGAGTGAAGGGTGTTTGCCTTTGCTAATGTTTGATGGCGCCATCTGATGTAGAGTAAAATAAACCTAATACGTTGGCTCACTGTAGTGAAAATGCGCGTTGACAAAAAATTTGTCCCACGCCCCCTGGATTCCTTGTCCTAAAGCTCACTATTTAGGCGAAGTAAAATTTGTATTAGGTTGTCCAACTATAATATACTTAAACAATGCCTATACCATGTCTCCTTCTACCATGGCACAAACACTGATAAGCGAATTACAGGTGTGCCCCATACGTATTTCTGTGTGTGTCGCCTGCGTGAAATTACGGTTCGTACTAAAATCGTTGCTGTCTTCACACCGGTAGTTTTTGTCGTACCGCAAAAAAAACTGCAACCATGTCATGACCATTTATTAATAAAAATATTAAAATCTCGTGGACTCGTTAGCGACACAACTCGAACTCAACCACATAAGCAGAACGAAATAAATAAATCGTGCCCCACCCCGGTGCTGAAGAGACAACGCTACAAAGCTAATTGGTGTCCCAATCACAAGCGAATCGACACTAAAACTCAAGGACAACTTTGAGCGGCGTTCGTCCCCGAAATAGGCAGTATAATTTGGGCAGAATTCCACGTACTAATAGCCCGCCAAATCCGCCATCGTTTGGTCCATCTCGTCCGCGATCGCTTTATATTTGCTCTTCTCGTCGACCAGCTCATCTGAAATGTTAGTAGTGTTAGTAAGCGTCAGGAGTGGGATCGAATAACGGAAAAAGAAATGGTAACTCAACTTAAGTATATTTGCTGTGGTATATACAACACGTACACATTACCAAAATAAAAATACCGATTATATCTCGACAGCAACGAAAAAAGTGAGTCGCTGGAAAAGGCAAAGTTGCTGTCTCTCAAAGACATTTACAAGATGAGTTCGACGAAAGCGGTGTCCAAGTCGTCGCCGATTTCCTTGTAGCGTTCCTTTTCGGCGACGAGCTCATCTGAAAGGGCGAACTACAATAAATATGCGTCCGTGGACTAAGTAGGCACTCGGTTATTTGCAGCTGGGTAACTAACGCTCGGTTAATCATGCAGGTAAAAAAAAAAAAAAAAAAAGAAATAAAAATAAAAAACACATCATATAATTCATATTAGCTTACATCGCAGTTAGAGATAAACAGACTTTAATATAAATTGCTTTAGACTATAATACTACATCAAATCAACATTACCGTAAAAAATGAAGCGCGCGTACATGCAAGGACTCGAAATAAACCAGCTGTAAACCCAAAAACCACGTCGTCTGTCTTATAAATTATTAATAATATATTACATAAATAATTAAAAAATATGTGTATAAGCCCGGAGTCCTTCCATCTACGTGCCCACTAAATTCCGAAAATATACAATAAACAAACGGCATAATTTCGACGATATTAACGAAGCGACTAAGTTTGTGGCCTCCGAGTGGCAGTGTTGACCAATATTGCAACGAACCAAGAAAGAGATCGCAGACTTCGTTAACATCGACCGTGGGAAAAAAATTTAATGCCTGTCCTATATAATTGTGCTTATTGTGCTATCACACGGTTGTAATGATTAGTATTTTTCTGATTTGCAATAAGCACGGGTAAATGGTCTCCGATTGCGTCTTAGCCTGGATTTTATTGTTGATGGAGGGGAATGCAAGGCAGGAATGTTGACAGTACTGAATTGGTTTTACATATTTTGGATATCATGCAATGTAGCTTCCATCTCGTCAGACAAAAGTTTGTTCTTTTCCTTTTCTGCCAACAGGTCGTCTGGAAGTTAATGCGTTAATGGCGACACACAACAAAAACAACGAAAAAAAAAAAACAAAGTGTGAGTAAAGGGGGTGTTTCACACAAAACGCACCTTCTAATCTGTCGACCTCCTTTTGCAGTTTCTGTACGGAACGTTCAGCAAACTCAGCGCGAGCCTCAGCCTAGACAGAGAAAAAACAGTTATTATAAGTTCAGATTTAACCGATTGGACGGAACTGGAAGTCACACAAATCCAGGTTCGTCCAACATTATACATCACAAAAGTGACGTGAGGGTAAGTCAGTGTGGAAAAAAAAAGCACTCGGGTTATTCTACTTACATGCATGAAAACGTACTTACAAATGTTGCAGACCCGCCACCTTACTTACACTTTAATCGTCAACAAAGAAACTAGATTTGATACAAAAAGCGGCTGAAAAGTGATACAAGCACCTGAAGCTACTTAACGCAAACAGTACAGATTAATACAAGCGATCGCGTTAAAAATGACACAATTCGTGAACCACGAGTTTTAAATGGACACCATTTTAACTTATTTAGCCACAAAAGCGTTAAGCTAACTGTTCACCATGACCAAAGAAGTTCAAATGATTCGTTATTCCAGAAAACGCAGTGATTTTATACTTGATATCGTGATTTTTACATGCTTCGTCCGGTCGATTGACGCCCGAAATTCGACATTTGTGACGATCAACTAAAATAAATTTCGCTTCTTTACTGAACTTACTTCACGCAGTTTATCAGAGATGGAACGGATTTTATCCTCGCTATGTTCTCTGGTAACAGCCGCCTGCACACAACAAACTCTATATACACATGCTCGATAAATACCAATATACTAAGTCTAAGACAAGAGACAAACAGTCGAGACGAGCCCCCAGAATCACCAACATAACAAGAGCTAATTATGTACAACGATGTAAATACGAAAAATCAACAAAAGTCGCTATGAAAGATGCCGCTGTTGCCACCATCGCACTTTACCTCAGCTAGACGTTGTTCCACCTGTTTGAGGGTGACCGAATACTCTTCCTCTTTTAACGTGGCCTGTGTTAATAAGTCATTTAGTAAAAGAAAACACACAACTACGGCACAAAAGCAAACTCGTTAGTACTAGTTTGCGTTTGTGATTCAAACATGCCGCCAATTAAAAAATAACCAAACAAAAAAAAGAGGTTAGACATTGAGGTGCACTCCACACATGTCGGTACCTCCTTTAGGCGGGTTGTCAAGTTCTTAATTTGATTTTTGTACTCTTCTTCGCGTTGGTTGGCCTATGATTACAACGATTAATCACAAGTTTTTCCAATTTGACAATAATAATAATAATAATAATAATAGTAATAATAACAACGATTTATAATACCTTCTCCTCAGACACTTCAAGCGACTTCAAGTTGTTGCCAACGACGCGAAGTTCCTCCTCAAGCTCTACGATTTTGCTGCAAAACAAAACCACGTTACGTTTTGTCCACGAAAAACATACTAGTCGTTACCGTGGCCGCATACCAACACCACGATAACGAACAGTTCGGTAACAACGCTCTCTACTGTACCTTTCGCTCTGCTCGGCCCGCTCTTCGGCTCGCTCCAGGTCCTGCTCCATTAGAACCAACTTTCTGGCAACCTAACAAACCACACAGACATGCAAGTTGTTAACTGAAATCTACTCGGTAAAAACAAAAACCGTCGTTATTTTTGCTTAAGAATAGCTAGCTAAACTGCGTTAGTGTGGGTAAAATAAAAAAAAAAAAAACAAAAACGGCACAAAATTAAAAAGGACGATGTCGGTTTCACGCCTGGGCTGTAAATTTTGCTCTTAGATTATGACGCTACGTCATGCCACACGAAAACACCACAATTACTAGCTAGAAACCTACGATTCTCCTGCCTCGGCGCGCTCTTCGGCTCTCTCCAAGTCGGCTTCCACCATGGCCAATTTACGAGCTACCTGTGTACGAATTGAGATGAGTACGTGTTGTTTTACAGGGGGATGGTTAATTTTTGACACACTGTGAATGGCGGATTTAGATTGGAAAATTTGCAGAGTTTTAAGATGCCAGGATTTTTGACGATATTTTCGTATTCAACTTCGAATAAGTTAAAAATAAAACAACTATAGAATATATCAAGGGTTTTCTGCTAATCGCACCGCTTATATTCGTTGCTATGGTTACGATGTGACGTCACCAAACATTTTTTAAATGGAACCAATCTTAATTTTTGAGTTCGTAGTTCAACCTTTACCTACATATTTAGCAAATAAAATATAGATAAGCAGAACCATCAAAGGAAAATCAATTTCTAGTATGTTATATAACGCTGTCATTACTATTATCTTATCATTCTACATATATAATTTTTCAGTTATCAATATTTAGTGCATTCTTAATAATTTTATTATATTTATTTTATTTTATCATACTTTGTATATTTGCTATTACATACTGCAAAAAAAAACTCGAAAAAATTACAGTATCACAAGAGTTTTACCATCAAAGTGTAATAAATAGAAGTAACAAAATTTACACCCTGTATAATACACACAAAAAAACATCAATTTCCATTATAAAAACAGAATAAGTTGAACACACTATTTTTTTATATGCATACAGTGTCCCCAATCTGCGCAATCTATATTTAAAAATTCTTAATTTTTTTTTTTATAAACACAATGTATATTAAAATGTCATAAAATATTGCAACACAGATCTTAAAAATGGCGTTATTGTGATTTTTGTGCACTGCTATTTTTATTTTAATTGGAACGTGGCAACGTTGCATCGGAGTTAAAAAATTAATTATGGTAATAAATCCTAGAAGTTTAATAAGAATATGTAAAAATAAAAAGTTCCGCCATTTTTAAAGATGGAGGTTTTGGAATTCTGCATGAATCTTGATTTAACACACCTACAAACCTAGCACAAGAATTAAACTTTTATATATACAGCGTGATTTAATTACGAGCCAATTATGAGTCAGTATTTTGTGAATACACCCATTTTTTTTTTATATATACAGAGTGCCTCAACAGTATGACGCCAAAAACTTACGCAAACTGAGAGAAAAATTGAAATAAGAAATTTTATGCGGTCTGAAGTCGTTTAAGTCCACAATTTAAAATAATTTTAAATATACATATATTATATATACAGGGTGACTCACTAAACTTGCGCTCCTCATTAATTAAAACAAGAAAAAAAAATCCAAGACTATACGGTTGTAAAGTTTTTTCTTCGGATTTATAACCATAGCTTATTTTTGAAATTCCGAGGCGATGTTGAAAAATTATTGAATTTTCTGTATTTGAAATTGACACGTTATTGATATATTGATTTTTTACTTTTTCTGGAGACACATCGGCGTATAAGAAAAAAAAAATTATTTGAAAACCTTAAAAATGACGTTATTGTGATTTTTTTGTGCATTTATTTTAACTGGAACGTGGCAACGTCGCAACCGAATTTAAAAACGTAGTCATGATAATAAAGCTTAGGAGATTAATATTAAAAAAAAAATAGAGAATTTATGAAAAAAGGGTCTGTAAAAGCCAGAAGTTCCACCATTTTTAAAGATGGAGGTTTGGAATTTTGAACGAAATCTCCTAGTGATCTTGATTTAACACACGTACAAACCTAGCGCAAGGATTAAACTTATATATACAGCGTGATTTAATTACGAGCCAATTATGAGTCGGTGTTTCGTGAATACACCCAATTTTTTTATATACAGGATGTCCCAACAGTATGACACCAAAAACTTACGCAAACTGAGTGAAAGATTTAAATAACAAATTTTATGCGGTCTGAAGTCGTTTAAGTCCGCAATTTAAAATAATTTTAAATATACATATATTATATATACAGGGTGACTCACTAAACTTGCGCTCCTCATTAATTAGAACAAGAAACAAAAAATTCCAAGACTATACGGTTGTAAAGTTTTTTCTTAGGATTTATAACCATAGCTTATTTTTGAAATTCCGAGGCAATGTTGCCAAATTATTTGAATATTCTGTATTAGAAATTGACAGTTATTGATCCATTGATTTTTTACTTCTTCAGGGGACACATCGGCGTATAAGAAAACAACAAAAAAATTCTTTGAAAAAAACTCAAATATAGATATTTGAAAATCTTAAAAAATGACATTATTGCGATTTTTTTGTGCATTTATTTTAACTGGAACGTCGCAACGTTGCAACCGAATTTAAAAAAGTAATCATGATAATAAAGCTTAGATTAATATTAAAAAATAAAAGAGAATTTATGAAAAAAGGGTTTGTAAAAGCCAAAAGCTCCGCCATTTTTAAAGATGGAGGTTTGGAATTTTGAACGAAATCTCCCTGTGATCTTGATTTAACACACGTACAAACCTAGCACAAGAATTAAACTTATATATACAGCGTGATTTCATTAAGAGCAAATTATGAATCAGTGTTTTACGAACACACCCAATTTTTTTATATATATACAGAGTGTCTCAACAGTATGACGCCAAAAACTTGCGCAAACTGAGAGAAAAATTGAAATAAGAAATTTTATGCGGTATGAAGTTATTTAAGTCCACAATTTAAAATAATTTTAAATTTACATATATTATATGTACAGGGTGACTCACTAAACTTGCGCTCCTCATTAATTAGAACAAGAAAAAAAAATCCAAGACTACACGGTTTTAGTTTTTTCTTAGGATTTATAAGCTTATTTTTGAAATTCCGAGGCGATGTTGCCAAATTATTTGAATTTTCTGTATTTGAAATTGACAGTTATTGATATATTGATTTTTTACTTCTTCAAGGGACACATCGGCGTATAAGAAAACAACAACAAAAAAATCTTTGAAAAAACTCAAATATAGATATTTGAAAATCTTAAAAATGACATTATTGCGATTTTTTTGTGCATTTATTTTAACTGGAACGTCGCAACGTCGCAACCGAATTTAAAAAAGTAATCATGATAATAAAGCTTAGATTAATATTAAAAAAAATAAAAGAAAATTTATGAAAAAAAAGGGTCTGTAAAAGCCAAAAGTTCCGCCATTTTTAAAGATGGAGGTTTGGAATTTTGAACGAAATCTTCCAGTGATCTGATTTAACACACGTACAAACCTAGCACAAGAATTAAAGTTATATATACAGCGTGATGTAATCACGAGCCAATTATGAGTCGGTGTTTTGTGAATACACCCATTTTTTTTATATATATACAGGGTGTCCCAACAGTATGACGGCAAAAACTTAGGCAAACTCCATTAAAAATTGAAATAGGAAATTTTATGCGGTCTGAATTCGTTTAAAATCAAATAAAATGTACGTGTCCTTAAATATATACAGAGTGACTTACTAAATTTGCGCTCTCATTAATTAGAACAAGAAAAAAATCCAAGACTATGAAGTTTGTGCAGTTTTGTCTTAGGATTTATAACTAGCTTGTTTTTGAAATTCCAAGGCGATGTTGCCAAATTATCTCAATTTTCTGTATTTGAAATTGACAGTTATAGATTTTTTACGTTTTTAGGGGACACATTGGCGTATAAGAGAACAAAAAAAATTGTAAGATCATCGCAACGGAATTTAAAAAATGAATCATGATAATAAAGCCTCGGAAGGCCTGGGAAATATTAAAAAATAAAATAAAAGAATTTATGAAAAAAGGGCCTGTTAAATTCAAAAGCTCCGGCATTTTTAAAGATGAAGGTTTGGAATTTTGCACGAAATTTCCTAGTAATCTTGACTTGACATACGTAGAAAAGTAGCAGAAGTTAACTTATCTATACAATGTGATTTAATTACAACTAGAAAGGTTCAAGCAAAATATTCAACCTCCATTTTTGAAAATGGCGGAATTGAAAATGTAATCTTTCGAAAACTGTTGATAAAAAAACCTTATTTTGTTTTTTTTATAAAGTATCTAAAACTATTTAAAAATATATAGGGTGTTCCAATTAAACAAAAATCAATCTTTTACCCCTTGACCCATGGGACACCCTGTATATTTTTTTAAACAGTCATAACAAATGAAACCTCAATAAACTTGACAATTATAGTTTTAATTTTAATTGTTATGACTGTTTTTTTTAAGATGGAATATTTCTAGATTCCACAATCATCGAATTTTTTATTTCTCATTTCCAAAATAATGACGATGTAAATTGAACTTGATTTTTTTAACAAAAAAGTGAAATCTAGTTATAATATAAAACACAAATAAATAATAAAACTTAAGAAAATAATAAAATAAGGTCCTAACAGTTGCTTTCAGTCTAAAATATGGTCATCTTAAAACCAACAAATTTCTGGCGCGTCCACACAATATTGTAATTATTAGAGCGAATATAATCACACTGATCTCCACAACAGACTTTCCGTAGTTCTGACAAATAAAAAAAAATGGTGTTGAGTAAGCGTACGGAAAATCTGCCAATTAGATGAAACATGCACAATGATCACCATGGAACATACTCATCTAACTGTAGCCACGTATAAAAGTAGGCCTGAAAGCATTCCTCCATGTCAGTCCGTAAAATAAAACTTAACAGTTCAAAGTCCGTGGAAACATTCCAAAACAGGCACAAAAATTTTGATCCCGTTGACACAATATAAAAATGACTTTATAGTTGACT